TTTTTTAAATATTTAAAAATTAGAACGAAATTCAATTTTAGTTTTTACGGTTGAAATTTAATTCCAAAAAAAATATAATTTCTTAATTTTCGAAAATAGGCATATTGAACGCCAAAACAACTTATATGATATTTTTTTATCTTTTCCATTTATTGATTAATATCATCGTGCATCTTGCAAATATTGCATTAAAAAGCGCTAAAGAGCTTATAATTTAGATATTTAACTGTAAATAGATATTTTTCTTATATGTTTACTAACATTGTTGCATGTAACTGTTTTTAAATTTTTTTAAGTACAAAAATACTATATTTTTTATTGTTAATATTATTTTTAAATTATCGGTTACAGTCTAGCTAACGATATACTGATAATTATTATGTTTCATAGCATATTTTCATTTAAAAGTAAATATTTTTTTGAGTCGCGAAGTAAGACTGTATTTTTAAATTGTTCTAGGCATAGGAATACCACAAATGCATTACAAAAATTAAATATTATGAACATTTTTCGAAATAGCTAGTATTTGACACATCACCTACTAGTAACTTTAACACCAAATAGCATTTTTTCTTAAGTAAAATTTTTATCCAATTACTATTAATACCTAGCTTTAAAATTCATGCATTTTTTTTTAGAACTCAACACGAAACAAAATTTTTTGAAATTTTTTCAACCACTTCTCTATTTCTTACAGAGGAGATAGAATGTAATGAAGTCACGCAGTACTTTGATTTATTGCAAGCACTACAGAATAAGGATATTGAAGGTCTTCCTCCTGGTGGCGGCTTACAGTCAAAGTAAGTATAGCAACTCGTATTGCACATTAGTGCTATTGCAGTTATTAATGTGTTTTCTTCTTCCGCACAGATATGCAGTCATCGAGCGAACGTTCAAAGAGTTGTATCCAGATCAGGACTGCGAAGTACGAAACATACTTAATTTCTAATAGATTTCGCTTTGCTTCACATTATTGTTATTCACTTTTAACTCTTTTTCTGCATTGCAATGTTTTTTTCTACTTACTTTGCTTATAACTATTCTATTGGCTATTTATTCACCCGTAGCTCATTAAATTCGTATATATTTAATGCTTCGCTTAAATGCTCTATTTCAAATATATAACGCATTAATATTAAGTTTACTAATCTTTACATACACACATCACTAATGCTATTGTATTCTAAATAGGCATAACACATTTTCATATATTTATCTACATATCTACATATAGTATATTTTAGCTGCTCACCTGCTTTGCACTCACTTTTAACATGAACATATATTTCCTTTTTTCTTCTAGTGTAATGAATATTATCAACTGGTTTAAGTTGTGCCATAAAAAATTGTTTTAAAAAAATATTGCGCAATTTTTCAATTTCAACCAAAATAAAAAAATAAGTTGCAGTTTTTATTTATGTATGATGCGTTGTTATGTATGAGGCAGTGAAATCCTTGCTTACAACAATACGCATGCGAAAAGCAACCACCTGATTGTGTGCATGTCCATATGAATGAGTCAATAAATGTTTTGTTTTACACGCAACTCTATTTTTATTTCAATGTACCAAAAAGATATTGTCAAAATATATTTATGATTGAATGTTACTCATAATTCCATGCTCCTGCCTTTGATTGTATATTTATTATTTTAATTTATTTTTAATTATTTT